CTCAACTTACAATCTTACACTTTTTTAACGCAGAATCTATAAACTGGATCTTACATGAATGCTCCCCTACTCTCCCCTCTACAGTATGCTATTTGCTCATGGGGATTTCCCCGTTTACTCTAATTCACTTTATGTAATACAAAATCTTACAATTGACAAACTGATAAGCGGAGGCACGCATTATTAATCGTTCGAAACTGGCGCTCAAGTAGCGATCGAAAAGGTGCCACACTTGAGTAATAAAAATTTTGAGTCATAGTAGGGACCTCACAATCGTTTCACCAAAAAACGTCAATGTAATACACATTTACAATGTGTACCTTGTTTGGACATCATGGTGAAGAGTCAAACAAGAAAAAAATTACCGTTCGCCTTCCCTACTTTAGTTTCAAATAAACAATGAGAGATAAATCTCACCGTGGGCTTGACTCCTCCGACTTGGATTGTGAAGAATCAATTTACAAATTTGACAGTATATTTCATCTTGAAGAGAAGGACGCATGATTCCATGTCCGATAATAAAATGCAGTCTGTGATAACTCGACGTTACTTTTTCCTCCAACAAACGTGTATCCTCCGATCGGGAAAAATTCGCACATTTTCTGCGTATCGTGCGCAATTTTAATGCTGACTCCGCTCTCGCTGTTCCTCGACTTGGTGTACGCCCCGGGTCCGAACGTCCATCTGCCCGGGTGAATTGATTTTCCTGTGTGANNTGTGTGATTGATGTTTCAAGAGAAAAGATAAACCTCGAGTGGGCACAACTAAATCAGATTTCCCCAGACAAATTACGGTTAGCGATGATGATACTGAGGAATCACAAACATGTTTGCACAATATTTTCACGATCATTTCACTGAATCTGTCCGCGTGCGAACTGCACTCAAGTTGATTTTAGTAAGTGAAGTAACGAATGTAAGACGAGGGCAAGATTGCTAATTACAACGAAGAACACAACGCAACCACACGAAAAGCGAAACGGGTGAGAGTAAATCACCAAAGCAGTGCTAATATGACCACCTATTTTTATTGTTTGCATCAATCGGGTATATAATTGTGAGTGGCCAGAGTCTCGAAAAATTTCAATAACCTAGTGCTGTTGTGTTTTAAATCACCTGAAGTGTCCGAGCTGGCGTAACACATGATTTCTGTTTCCAAAAAATGCTACTTGATCAAAGATCTGTCTTTTCTACCCAAGCGATGAAGCAACAGTTTCAAACTTATTGTTCAGCTTTTTAAAAAGCGATATTTGGATGTGTACAGCTACTGGGGTAAGTAACCGCCTCTATCCTGTCTATGTAGATGGCTGAGTATCCACACTTGAAGTTATAACTGCAGTTTCATTCTTGTA